CGAATCGCAAAACGAAGGGCACATGCTAGATATCTATACACACACACATATACCACCAGTCGGATCGTCAATGCAGCCCACTTGTATCGCTCACCTTTGCTTTCACGGTTCGATTAACCGAACCGCGAACCTCGTCGCACGCTGGCGGGGGGAGAGGTGACACGTCGAAAGCATTCTCTCAGAGAAAAAAAAAACTAAATTCAACTTAGCCGGCAACGGAGCCTGACTGGCGGTCCCACCCTCTACGTGGGAGCGGTGGCCTAATGTGCCCACTTACGACGTCAAGCGGCGCGGTCCCGCGCTCTCCCGACGAGATGGGATCTTCGCCGTGCAGTAATTGGATCTCTAATGGCCGAGAGCAGACGCACGCGCGCTGATAATGGCAATCGAAGGAGCGAATCACGGGAAGCGAGGGGGCCAGGAAAATAATTTCTCTGCACGAGAAGTTCTCAGCCTCGAGCAACATTGACGACCCCCCCTCCCACACCCCCCCCCCCCGCTCACGTGCGCGCTGCGCATTTTCGTCTTGCGTGTGCAGTAGGGAGCGGTCGTGCAGAGAGTGATTGGTGTGCACTGCGCGACTAAACACGGCGACCCGGTGACGAATATCTGAACCGGTGCTGGGCCTCCCCTAAGTCGATTAAGCCTTAAAGGATTAGCTGGTGTGTTGTGTGTATAAAAACAATCATCAGCACTTGGGAGACAAAGGCGGCCGCGAATGGCGCTGGTCGCATCACGCCATTGTGTGCAATGACGGCCTTAAGGTCCTCTATAGCAGCACTCGCTCTGACAGCCTGTTAAAGGCTTTGATCTTTGTTACTCAATTCATCTGCCAAGCGAGCGATAGATCGAGTGCACGTGAGATGAACGTTTTTAACCCGGGATGTCAGCGGTTTCTACTCCGCGCCCTGACCCACGGAACCACTCTTTTAATGGAGCTTCTCTAACTCCAGTGCGGGTGGTGGCTTACGTTCGTCTAATTTCTCACGTTGAAATGTATCTACGGCTTGAATGTTAACTTGCGAGCAGGACACTGCACGTGCCTGTTTATTGCCAATGGTGCCATTGTGGCCCCTGCAGAGACGTCAGGTCTTGGAAATAGATCGCCCATGAGTAAAGCCATGAGGATAAATTCATATAATACAGTTTGAATCAATTAATACTGTAAATGTAAAAATAGTATGATTATTAGAGAGCGAGAGAGAGCGCGAGAAAGAGTGTGAGAGACTTTTGACTTTTAAACAACTTTTATTGCCGTCAGCAGCAACAGCACTGGAGGCAATTCCGATATGAAATACAGTCACCAGCAAACAAATTAACAAACGCTATAAATCCACGCGCTGTGGCGCTAAATGCACCGCGCACAACACGAAAGAAAAGTCACGTGGTGGTGCTGTTCATCGCACACGCCACGGTGACGAGCGAGCGCTTCAGAAGGTGAACGTGAGGGTGCCGTCCACGCTGGTACAGAGGGCTTTTCCGGCTCCTCAGAGTTCGAAGCAGACGACGAGCGAGCGAGAGAGCGAGAGAGAGAGCAAGCGAGAGAGACGGACCCCAACATCTTCAGGGGCTGGTCAACGTGCACGTCGGCTACGCCAAGCTCGCCATTTACAGGGCGAGGAAGGTGGCCCTGGAGGGGAAACGTCCGGCCAGCAGCATGGGCATCTTCCGCGCTCTGGTCGGAGCCAGGGTGTGTGGGCTGGAGTTCCGCCATGCGGCGCGGCTGACCCACGCCGTGCCGGCCTTCAAGGAGCAGTGGGCGATGGAGGAGGCCGTGTGCTCGGTGGCAGATGACGGGGAGCTCTGCATGCAGTTATGAGCTACCCGTCGGAGGCCGTCAGACTGCGAGAAGGGCTGCGTGCAGAACGAGAGAGTGAGCGAGAGAGTGAGCGAGCGAGAGAGTGAGCGAGAGGTGGGGGTTTACATAAAGCAAAGTTATAAAAAAAATAAATTACGAAATGATGAACGAAGCAAAGTGCCGACTACACCGAGCATCTTCTTGTTTCCACTGATCGTAAAAAAAAAGAGAGCGAGAGAGAGAGAGAGCAAGTGAGAGAGCGAGAGAGAAAGGGAGTGAGCGAGCGAGTCACGGGTCCGTGGAGGTCGAGAGAGGTCGTGAGCGAGGTCAACGCAGAGTGCAGCACCGCTGACCCCGGCGAGGAGCTTGTCAAAACAGGCCAGGCCAGGTGGGGAGAGGGGAGGGGGTCCCCAGAGTGACCGAGCGTTGGCCATTCATAATTTATAATCCGGTTTCTTTTAATAACGGTGACAGGCCCCCGTGAATTGCCTCCGTTGGCTTCTGTAGGCAAAACGGCCTTCGCCCGTATTTATTTTTTGCGATGGACGAAGGTTAATTAACCGCCTCGGAAGAGGTGAAAGAGTCATTTGCAGCCGAAATTGGATTACTGTTGTAGATTTAACACTGTCACTTTGGAAGAAAAAAAAAACACCCCCAAACATATTATTAGAAACCTCGTTGTTGCATTAGACTCAGAAACATTGTAATTTGTTGCACTGGAGGTTACTCTCGAGACGTGTGTGTGTGTTTTTTTCATTTCAGTCAGTCGACCCGTGGCACCTGCTGGGTCTGTTCCGTGACCTCCTGCCAGCGGGCGTTCGACACTTCACGTGGCCTCAAGGTGCACATGGCCTGGCACAAGCGTCGTGGTGACGTCACCGCTACTTAGTGGCGAGTGGCGGTTGTTGTTGTTGGTGTTTTTTGAGGAGGGACGCGGCGGCGGAGGAGGAAAGGAGGAAGGTTCCTTTGCTTAAGGTTTTGGGAATACTAAATATTTGTTTATTTTAACCAGGTGAGACACACTGATCTATATAGCTATTTTTCAGAAGCGACCTGGCCACAAATGATAGCTCAATGAAGTGGCCTATCACGTGGGAATTTATATCAGCCAAACACTCTAAACGCATTGTTCTAAGTGTACGGAGAAAAATGCACGCGACCATGGGGAGAGTGACATGCAATCTCTATACTCTTTGGTTCTTTCGGTAAAGTCACGTAGGTAAAAAAAGAATAGACCACGACGTTTCGATCGTAACAACAAGCGACCGTCTTCAGGTGAAAGAATCAGACTGCTCCTACAGCCGATCTTTTGGATTGCACTCTCGTGCTCAATGGTCCTTTGGATTGCACTCTCATGCTCACAAGTTCCTCCGACTCTCTGTGTGTGTGTCTCTCTCTGTGCCTCTCTCTTTGATCTCTCCCCCAGTGACTCAAGTGCTGCTGCAGAGTCCCACTTTCTACCCCCCCCCCCCTTCAACACCCCCTTCTACCCCCCCCCCCCACCACCTTCTCTCTCCTCCCTACAGCAGTCACGAAAGCTTCAAATCAAGATGCAAACTCTAAATATACAGGCGTCAGGATCGAACCCACGACCTTCTGTATACCGGGCGAGGGAGTTAACATCTCACCACATGAAGAGAGCGCGTGTCTTCTTGTCAGCGCGAAGTGACATCCTGCTTTCGTCTCAGAGGCGTATACGGCAGGAGGAAAACATCGACCCCAAAACGTCTGAGATTCTCAGTAAAATAAGCTTATCTTCATGAGACCTCTTTTGTCAGTAACAAAATATGAGAATAGGTTTTTTTTCCCTTTTATCTGGCAACAAAACAGGAGTTAAGTTGTGGAAACACCAAACTGAAACCTTTTACAAGGAATCATGTCTGCATTAACCACAATACATGTGGTCAAAATGCAAACAAAAAACATTCTCTTGTCTTTGTGCCGTACGCCTTTTGGCGTCCTCTGGTCTAACACCATTTGAGACAAGGCTCAAAAGAAAGCTGTCTCTGGTGTGGACCAATCAGTTTCAAAGACAATGCATATATAATCAAAGCTTCAAATCTAGAATTATCAGAGTATGTTTTTGATTGCATTTTGACCCCAAGTATTGTGGTTAATGCAGACATGATTCCTTGTAAAAGGCTTCAGTTTGGGGTTTTAACAACTTAACACCTGTTTTGTTGCCAGATAAAAGGGGAAAAACCTATTCTCAAAATAAGCGTATGTTCCACAGTGGCTCTCAGTAAAGTCAGATTGGCTCATGACACTGTGTTCTTACAATGCCCTATTATAGTTGCTCTGCTGGAAGATGTTTTCTATTTGATTGCAAAGCACCACAGCATGGGTGGGGGTTCATTAATTATTCCAAGTGGCTGTTGCAAACAAGCACAAATGCATCTGCTGTGCAATATACTTCAGATTAAACGTGAGAATGTCGCTGCTGGCATTAATTAACGCGCAGTAAATCTAACGTACAGATTTACTGTGTCCTTAAAACACAATTCTTAATTAAGGACCATATGAAATGTTAATTAAAAGGGTAGCAGTATTAGATTTTCACCGCTGGCTTTTAATGTCAATTTAGCTAATGTCTCACTTGTGTTTGTAAAAGAAATTGGTTTGCGTGGAACGGCGATGCACTAATTAGCACACTGAACCGGCGCTCGATTTCTGGGCCCACGGCTGACACTGCTGGACATTTGTGACAAAGCGCTTCATAGCTCATCGGATTCCTCCAGTCAATATTGGACCAATGTGGTGAGTATGGTCAAGGAACCCCCCCCCCCCCGTATCTCCATCCAAGACCAAGAACAGCGTGGGGAGGAGGCTTTCATCCAGCAGTGGATTGACAGGCAGCTCTCAATTATTTTTGTTCTATTTTGTATGTCCAGAAAAGACCCTTTAAAAAAAAAACGAAACGTGGTATGATTTAAACTATTTTTTTATTTGACCAGATAAGGCCCACAGAGCTACAGTATGTGGCTCTTTTAAGAAGCGATGTGACCACAAATGATAGCTCAACGAAAGTGGCTTATCACGTGGACATTTATAGCAGCTAAATATTCTATTAACGCGCGATGTTGATTCTACATTTGGAGGAAAAATTGGAGAACCCGGAGAAAAATTCCACCCGACCACAGAGAGAGAGATATGCAAACTACAAATATACAGCAGGCATCAGGGTTTTGATCGTACTCATGACCTACTGTATACCAGGCGAGGTAGTTAACATCTCGCCACCGCGGCACCCCCATAATGTCCCCACGTGTCTGTTAATATGGACGTACACTATCCAAGTGCCTATGCGTGTGTGTCTGCAATACAATTTGATTCCCGCTCACGACCGACAACAGTGGAGATTGATTATACACTGTGTAACATTTTTTTTGTTTCTGGGTACTAAGTGTTATTTCCTAATTTCTTATGCTTCAAAAGTACAGTCCCCACAAACTTTGCTTTTGTGACCAGGAAAGTGATATTTTGAAATCGACCTATTTTCCAGAACATTCCAGATAGATTCAGTGCTCAGTAAATTTGGAGTAACTTCTGGAACATTCTAGAACTTTCTAGTAATATAAATAATAGAATAAATATAGGGGCCTTAAGCCCACCTGTTCAGTTTAGTTCCAGCTGCCTAAGTGAATACATATCTGCATTTTTCTGAGATGGCATCAAGAGGCTGCAAGCATCCGGCAGACGCATTTTGCTATGTCTGCGGCCAATGTATCAAGACAAGAGCGAGAAAGTACTCTGTGGAAGCATCTGCTAATATGTGTGAGGCCTACAAGGCATATTTCGGCATGCCTGTTGGGGATCAAGACAAACCCTGGGCATCTCATTGCACCTGCGAGCAATGCAAAAAAACTCTGGAAGGTAAGATGGGCAATTGTTGCTCGGAATTTTGTTATAAAATTTGTTTAGAAAAATTTAATTGTAAAAGTTTTTAATTAAAAAATGTGTTACAATTTTAAATGTTATTGAAAAAAAATATCATATATGAAAAATGTTGCGAGAATATCTTACACATTAGTCATGGGTGAAATAAATGTATTTTTGTAGGATGGTACAGAGGGGAAAAGAGAGCCATGAGGTTCGCTTTCCCAAGCATTTGGCGGGAACCCAATGAACACTCAAGCAACTGCTACTGGCAAGAATGCACCTGCTATCACGTATCCGGACCTTCCTTCATCCATCACCCCGGTGCCACACTGCCATGAGTTCCTCTGGAGAGAGAGTAGCCGCCTTTAGAAGAGAGCAGAAAGTCAGAGAGCGAGGAAGACGTAGATCCAGATGACAATTTCAGAGGTGGAGCTGAGGAGAGAAACCCATACTACCCCAACCAAAAAGACCTCAACGACTTGATCAGAGATCTTGGTCTCACCAAGTCCAATGCCGAGCTTTTGGCGTCTAGGCTCAAGCAGTGGAACTTGTTGGATGAAGGTGTGAAAGTCGCAGATCAGAGGAAGCGTCATCAACCTTTTTGCAGCTTCTTCATCCGTCAAGATGGGCTCTGCTTCTGCCACAATGTGACAAGTCTTGTTCGAGGCAATCGGAATCACCTGTAACCAGAATGAGTGGCGCCTCTTCATTGACAGCTTATCCAGGAGCCCCAAAGCCATGCTGCTTCATAATGGTAACAAGTCTCTTACCCTTGGCTCACTCGGTACACCTCAAAGAGGATTACAACAGCATCAATACCTTGCTGGACGCCTTGAAGTATGATGAGTACGGCTGGGAGGTCATCGGAGACTTCAAAATGGTGGCATTCCTGATTGGTCTCCAAGGTGGTTTTACCAAGTGTACCTGCTATTTTTGCCTTTGGGACAGCAGGGACACCAAGGCGCACTACCACAGGCGGGACTGGCCACAGTGGACCGAGTTCTCTGTGGGAAGGAACAACGTCAAGTGGGAGCCACTGGTGGACCCCTGGAAGGTGCTAATGCCACCACTGCACATCAAATTGGGCCTGATAAAACAATTTGTCAGAGCTGTAGATAAGGAGTCGGCAGTTTTCAAGTACCTTCCAAACTTCTACCCTAAGCTGTCTGAGGCAAAGGTCAAAGCTGACGTCTTCGTCGGATCACAGATAAAGAAGATCCTGGAGTGCAATGAATTCCCCAAGAAGCTCACTAGTAAGGAGAAAGCGGCTTGGAACAACTTTGTCGCAGTGGTTCGTGGCTTCCTGCTCAATCACAAGGTCGAAAACTATGTGGAGCTGGTCGAGACTCTGGTGAAGAACTACGGCACAATGGGCTGTAGGATGTCCCTCAAAGTCCATATCCTTAATGCTCATCTTGATAAGTTCAAGGAGAACATGGGAGTGTACTCGGAGCAGCAAGGCGAGCGCTTCCACCAGGATATACTAGACTTTAAACGCCGCTACCAAGGACAGTATGACGAGAACATGATGGGAGACTACATTTGTGGGCTGATTCGTGAAAGTTATTTACAGTATAATCGTAAAACTCGAAAAAGTACTAACTTCTAAATCTTTTGTAGCAATTTTTGTATTATTTTAGAATAAATACATGTTAATTATGTTTCATATGTTCTTTTTTCTCATTTTATGTGAACGAAAAGACACAGATTCGCCCGTTATCTCAGTAAAAATAAGTACATTTCAAAATAACAGTTCTGGTCACGAAAGAAAGTTTGTGCGGTATCAGAGCCATTTTCTACACTTTTTAAGCAAAAGCAATTACGAAATAACACTTATTACCCAGGAACAAAAATTGTGTTACATAGTGTTATCCGAACCGTTCCTGAGCCTCCCTTAGGTCGACTCAGCCTGAACAATGAGCATCTCCTGCGGTGGTGCTTAAACATCGGCACCGACGGAAGACAAAGACGGCCGAGCGCGGTGGTGACCCCCACGGACAGCCACTACTCGTCCTGTTACCACGCCGGCGCGTCTTAGACAGATGTTCTCTCCCAGCAGCTTGCTCCAACAGGCTGGTAAAGGCCATACGGGGGATCTTTGTCTTTTTTGTTGTGTAACAAGAAATGCGGTGTGAGCGCGCGTGTGTGTGTGTGTGTATACACACATCCCACCAATCGCGGCCCGGCACGGGCTACGGTGTGTGTGTGTATGTATGTGTTGACACGTACACAAACACACTATACATCCGTGATAAATACATACACACTGCGAACCGTAAGAGTGAAAGCCTCGTGCCGTTGCTTGGTAATTCGTTGCTAGGCATCACCTCTGCAGCTCGCAATGCCGGCAACTCCCACCCATCCCAGCCCCCCCCCCTTCCCAGCCCCCCTCCCCGCCCCCCTTTCCTTAACGCCCCCCAGCACCTCAAGCCCACCACGGTTCCTTTTCAACGAACCCCCCCCCCCCGCAGAAAATTAACGATGCCTGACAGACGGCACCATCCCACCAATCGCGGCTCGGCACGGGCTCCGGGTGGTGGGGGCAGTGGTTCTGACTGAAAATATTTCATTGGGTGCCCGGTCTCTCTCCCTCCCTCTCTCTCTCCTTTTTCGCTCTCTCCCTCTCTCGGGCTGCCGATATCCCAACCCCTTTAACCACACGCGGGGCCAGATGGGCTTGGCTGTGTATATATATTACCAAAGCTGACGTTCGGATAGGAAAACACAACAGGCGACGACTGTGACGGCTATTGTATTTATCTATCTCACCCTCTTCTCGTGCGAGACGTGCTTTTCCATCATCGAGGTGTCCTCGTGATACAGTGTTGCCATTTTTTGTTCAAATGTATCTGAGAGCATAGGTGTACATTTCGCTCTGGTTGTCGTTTTTGTTTTGTCGTCGTTGTCAATCCGAGACGCACGCGAAACGGACGGACGGATGTCACCTCGCCGGCATCTCGAGGTGGTGCCATGCAACACCCACCCCCCCCCTCTCTCCCGGCCTCTCAACCTTCTGATGCGGTAGATGCATTTGCTGCCCAGTTCGCGTCTTAGAGAGGGACTTGGAAGCCTCTGTGCTCTGACTGCCAAGCAGAAGGTGCGAGCGAGGGAGAGCAGCAAAAGAGGAGAGAGAGAGAAGGAGGAGGGAAGGAGGAATCAGGAGAGAGAGATAGGAAGACCAGCAATATGCAGCTGAAACTGTGTATTGCGAGGAATTGTTGCCGGCGCTCTTGATTCCTGTTCACGAAACGGAATAGAGCATCCCCACTCCACCATCCGGAGCTGCCAACTGAACACCGCCCCACCGCACCCCACCAGCCAGCCCGTACAAAAAGTAAGTAATGGAAACAATACATTCATTTGTAAACATCGGACGGAGTTCGACGCTGATTAGACGTCTCCAATTTTACAACGCCCGAGTTTGAAGTGCGTCCAATTCGCCAGCGTGCCATATTCGGTGCGCGCGTGTCTGTACTGTATTTTGAAATGGCATTTACAGGAAAGCGTTGGCGATGCCTCCTGAATGGCTGAATGAGTGCTGACTCGGTGTGGGAGATAGCTTCCTGGCTGATGAGTGGCAAGTGCGGCGAGCGGTGGTGCGGCAGCTTTTTGGGGGCGAGTCTGAGCCATATTCGTCCGAGTACGAGAGTCAAAGTTGGCCGTGGCATCTTTTTCACAAATTTTAAGCAGACACCCAAGTAGTCTTGGTTGACAGGAGTAGCGAGGGCGGCATTGGAGAGACCCGGTCTACAATGTTGAGAGTTGTCCCACTTTTGCTGTGAGTTTACATGCGTACTTTAATAAGCATTCGGCACATCAGAAACGGGTTCAATAACGGGTTGCTATTCCCATCAACCATAGCCTAATTGAATGAGCTATTGGGCCAGCCCAGCCGCTTATATTGATCCTCGGATTCATAACGTGATGAAATGTCTCTAAAAAGTCGATCCAAACGCGCTTAGGCTGCTCCAACATTCATTGCACAGGTGATTGACACGAAATGAAAGCGCCTCGACTCCAACACAAATCAGATTGTCTTCCTCGCGGAGTTAACGTCTCTCGCGTTAACTCAGCGATGTTTTTTTTCTCAAAATGCCGGTGGTTCCCGCATCCAAAAAAACAACGACACAAAAATTCCACAAAATCCGATCAACCGTACGGTTAACAAATCGTCTCTAAATCTTTCTGCGAGTTACAGCTGCCCGACTCCGATGCGACTGCGAGCTGTCCTTTATTGCTGCGTCGTCCCCTTAAGTGAGCGACAGCCTTAATCGGAACCGCATTCACAACAGGGAGAGGTTGAATTAGAGCTGGATGGGTGGGAGGAGGGGGTGGAGGGAGGAGGTGGGATTGCTGTTTCAGGTGCATAACAGCCCAAACAGATGCTTTTAGATTGACACACAATGGATGCATGCAGCCGATAGTTGGGGTAATTGTGCCGGAGTGAGGCTGCACTTTAAGAGATTCGACACAGCGGAGGTTGACACAACACCGAGGCGGTCTCGTCAAATCAACGTGAACAAGCAGCGTTGTTACGGCACTGCAATCTCCCCCCGGGGGCTTTAAAGTGGTCGTGTGCTCGTGTGACCGTGTGTGTGTGTGCTTTGCCTGCGTCAGTCACGCCGCGACTCGCCGCGCGTCCTGTTGGAGGAGCGAGGCAGGTCTCGGCGTTTATTCCGCACGCGTCGAGGCGACTACTCCTTCTTTTGCCGCACACTCTCTCTTCTCTCGAGCAATTACATCGGGAAGCATTATTTGTAACAGATTGGCTGCTGTGTATTCCCACCAGTGCTGCCCTCCAGCAAAAATGAGTTTAATTTAGCAAATCAGCCTGCAATTGCATTTGATTTTATTTGCAGTTAGCGGCAGGGCTTTTTATTGTTTTGCGCACGGTTGATTAAATATAGTGCTCTCCGGGCATTTAATCTGCAGTGCAAGAAGGTAATTTATTCAGTGTAAAGAATGGCAGGCAGGGTGGTTACAAACACACGCGCGCGCACCTACACACAAACGCACCCAGCACTCACGTGCGCATCAAGGGCGACGCGATGGGCAGCGGTGGTTAGTGGCACGCGCTACGAACGTGGCGACCTGAGTTCGATTCCCTGTCGAGGCTCATAACATCAGCGGCGATCGATATCTGAATCGGATATGGGCTGCTCCCCCCCCCCTTCCCCATCACCAGCTCGCACTGGCCAGAGTGGTGAAGTTTGGCTAAACAACCCACCATGACCCACACGCAATAGATGAGAAATGTGTTTTTTTCTCCCAGCAGTAGACCGAAAATTCAATGATGAATTGACTACACGTATATGCATGCGCGTGAACACGATCAGCTGATGCGCGAACATAGACACAGCATGTGCCTTTGGCTGATTATGTCAGCACACGTCAGTGGTGTATGTGCTTGCTCAAGGCAAAAGATGACAAAGCTGTGAGTCATGAATGGGAAATGAGGCCAGATTGCAAACTGCACCTTGCCCATTGGATTGGTCTCCAGAGGTAAGGCAACCGAAGTTAATCGTCTCCCCAACTCTAGAAAAAGCAAACTCTGCATTAATTAACTCCTGCTGCTGCTGCTGTGCCATTTCTTTTTAGCACTTGCGTCCCTTATGTCCTGCTATAACTGTCGGGTCACCATAGCTCTCGTAATAAGTGGACTCGGCCGATTCACCAAGCGGGCGCGTGACTCATAGCGTGGCCGACAAGCCGGAGACACAAAGCAAGAGCCGAAGGAATTACTCTTCAATTTAATTTCTTTCTTACGTGACTTTACCGAAATAACCAAAGAGTAATTCCTGGAGTCACGAAAGCTTCGAATCTAGCCAAAGGAATGTCTACTTACGGATACAGTGTGCAAATTAGTTGTGTACCGGGAGCTGCCTAGCGGGTTAGCACGCGGCTAATTAAATTACTTCCGAAGACAAACGCTCACGTTGGGAAGCGTTAAGTACGGCAATGCCATGTTCACGCGTGATTTTTTTCCAACTTGTTTAACAAAAAAATACACGCCCAAGACTTCTCAACCTTCATTTCCTAATAAACAACACACAAAAAACCCCCACACTTGTTTAATATAACAATAATGATTACGGCTTTGAAAACTGGATGCATTTTTTTGGCTGAATTTACCGGTCCATTTCAGCGCAGCACCACGCGAGGCACGGTCAGACATGAAGATGCGAGGGCATTCGGCAGCCGATATTCCAGAATCAGATTTGTTCTGATTGTATCCTGGAGGAATCCTATGAGCTACAAAGCTTTTTTTTCCACAGATGTCCAGCAGTAGCGGGTTAAAACGTTCCATACTCTTAGGTTTTTTCAGGTAAAGTCACGTAGGTAAAATAATAATAATAAAATAATAAAACATGAAAATAACTCAATTAAATCACGATGTTTCGGAGGCAACACAAGTCTCCGTCTTGCCTCCGAAACGTCGTGATTTAATTGAGTTATTTTCATTTATTATTATTTTATTCTATTACAATTTTTTTACCTACGTGACTTTACCGAAAGCACCTAAGAGCATGAATCCTTGCAGTCACGAAAGCTTCAAATCAAGAACGTTCTACCCCGGGGGAGCCCACGCGAGCCGCACCGCCAGTTAACGCGACGCCACGATCCCACGGGCAGTGAATTCGAGCGGCATTTCACAACGTTAGCAATCGATGATCTACGCGTGTTTCCATGGGCGCGCGTGTGTGTGTGTGGGCGAGTAGCCACCATTCCTCTTGTGCCGTGCCGGCCTTCATAGGTGCTCGCACACAGCACCGGCCCCAACATTATGTTAAGGATACACGAGGGGTTTGTTTTTTTGTCTTTCTAGTAGGTAGCGCACTGCGCTGCGAACCCGGCCACCCGAGTTTAGCTCCCGCTCACGGCCAACACCAGTGACGATTATTTGAATCGGTCATGGGCCTCCCCTAGGTCAAATCAGCCTCAAATGAGTACTTTGGGCGGTGTGTAGTAAACATCGCCACTTAGAGAGACAAAGGCGGCCGGGTGTGGTGCTGGCCACCCACCCGACCTCGTGTGCCGTGCCGGCCTTCATATATGCCCGCTAACCTACTCTGTTAAGGCTTTACCGGGGGATCTTTTAGTCTGTGTACGTGTGTGAGGCCTCGTCCGCCTTTGTCTCTCTCCACAGTGTTGATGTTTACCTGCCACACTCGGCTACTCATTGAAAGTTGAGTCGACCTAAAGGGGCACGACCAAAGGCTGGTTCAGATAATCACCACGGACATGAGCAGTGATCGGGAATCTAACTCAGGTTGGCCCGGTTCGTGACCACGACGCTACAGCTCCCCACAGCGTGTTCGTTCACATCAACTTACTCCAACAGTTTGTTAACGGTTTTTGCGGGGTATTTTTGTTTATGCCTTTGTGTGGCCTCCTGCCAGCGAGCCTTCGAAACTTGACATGGTCTCAAAATACATCAAAGTCTGACACTGCGATGACTTCACAGTCACTTTAGTGGCCAATGGCGGTTGTTGTTGTTGTTGTGGAGCGGTGGCGCAGTGGTTAGCGCACGGCGGGATGAACCTAGTGACCCGATGTCGATTCGCGATCGTCGTCGGCAATTACGTGAATTGGGTTTCGGCCTCCCCTAGGTCCGCGCAGCCTTAAACGAGTACCTTTAAACTAGATCAGCCTTGGGAGAGACAAAGATGGTGCTGTTAAAGGCTACACGCGTGCAAGCGGGCTCTGTGTATTTGCGCAGTCTGAATGTACAACCCTTTGATGGGTGGAACTCACCCAAGTGGCCTTAGCACAGTGGGCGTGACAGGCGCGAGCGCGCTGCGCGTCATTGAAGTGTCACGCGACACAGGTAGTGGGGGCTCGGACAAGCACTCAGCTCGGCGCCGGTGTGAAAGCGAGATGTGCACGTGCAGGCAGCGCGTGGCACCCACCTCGCGTTTCGTGCCCGTGAACGTGCGAGGATTTTCAAAGAGGAAATAGAAAAAAAAAGAGAGGATGCAAGACGTGGCCGTCGCCAATCCCGTACATATTCATGGGGAAAAATGTAACATTTATCCAAGTTGCCCAGGTTCCTTCCCGTCGAATATTTGATGCCCACTCTCTGCTGCCCGCCAGCGCGCATGCTCCCAGACCTTCCGTCCAAAACCCTTGACACCCTTCCCCGCCACGTGACCCACCATCCTTCAAACCGGGGCAGGCGATGGAGGCACTAGGGAAATATATTCCGGGGCTCAGCCGTGGACATCTTCGTCTGAGGTTTAACCATGATTTTTATTAACGATTTTTTTGTGATTATATAATGTTGATAGTTTTATAATTGAGCCACTTTTTCCCCTCTGAATTTATTTAAAGCAA